GAATCTCTTCAAATTTTTTGTTTTAAAAAAGGGGGGGGGGGGGAGGTGTCAAATACCTATCACGGGCATTGCCTACTCACCTGTCATGTAATATATTCAGTTTTACGTGTTCTCTGAATCCAGTGGAATGGGGACTTCATCTGGGCCTCCTACGTGTAAGCATCTCTCATGTAAGCATCATAATCTCTAGGCTTTTGCTGCTGTGGTAGTGATAAGGTATCATCCCATCTGACCAAAAATTACATCCTTTCAGAATCCTGATGAAAGGTCATCTCATTAGATACATTTCTGCAAACAGCCACAGTTTTGACAAATTGAGATTTACCAGGAGAAAATTAGTTTTAGTTTAACGTTGTTTGCAGTATGTTGCATTGTTATAATATGCTGCAGTCACTGTAATACAGCAGTGCATTGACATTACAGCACAATACCAGAGTACCTTATGGTCCTGAGGAAGTGAGCAGCTCTATGAATTAGAGGTTCACTGGCATAGGGTAGAAGCTGTAACTTGGGCCACTAGAGATTAGGCATTTGTGTATAAACAGTGCTGTAGGCTGCTTGAGTGAAAATGGGCTTTGTATCACAGCTCCCTTTTCCTTTTGATTTGTGTAGCTGATTTGATGATGCCCTTGGAGAAGGTTGAGATAATTTGGTAGTTAAGGCACCCTGAATAGGGCTGAGGACAGCTGTATTCAGCTGCTTCTAAAATCAGATTTTCCTAAAGGTAAAAGTAATTGTCCATCTTTCTTCCAGGGAGTGTACTATCAAATTGGAGACGTTGTTTCAGTGATGGATGAGCAGGATGGAAAAATGTACTATGCTCAGATTAGGGGATTTATTCAGGACCAATACTGTGAAAAGAGTGCTGCACTGACGTGGCTTATTCCTACCCAAGCCAGTCCCAAAGACTGTTTTGACCCTGCATCCTATATCATTGGTAAGCTCCAAGACTTTTTCTACCTGTCTATCCTGCTGCAAATAATCATAAAATAAACAGGGCCTGGATGACGCGTAGTGTTTAAACAGTTTTTAGTATCATCTGGCATTGCTGATTTCAGTGGTGCTCAACCTTCTGTCCTGGCCCCACAGGCCAGATGAGTGGCATGGGGCTACTCTTCAGGCTGTATCAGCTTGGTGCAGCCTTGGCCAGCCCCTGTATGCAAAGGTTGGGCCCTGTGCTGAACCTGCATGCTGGGATCAGGCTGTGACACCCTGTGCCACATCCACCCAGCCCTGCACACTAGGAGCAAGCCCTGTTCCACTCTGTGTATTCAGTCTAATGCACAGGACCATTCTTTCCAGTCCATGAGGCTCCCCACAGGTCTGAAAATTTGACAGCAGGGGAGCAGCAACTGTTCCCTGCTGCCAAATGCTTGGACACGTGGGGAGACACACTGATCAGATACACAGCTCTTGGAGCTGGATGTGGCCTGCAAGCCAGGGGTTGAGCACCCCTAGTTCTTAGCTTAAACCTTCATTTTGCAAATTTAAGAGATTCCTTGCCTAACAGTGATTAGGTACTTTAAGTATCTTAAGTACTTTAACTTGCCTAACTAACCTCTGTGTTCACAATTTGAATGATGAGTGTTCTTTAATATTGCTGGCTGTTGGATATTATGTTTAGTCTGCACATCATTGGTGGACTTAAAACTTTGATTTTTGTGTTTCAGGACCAGAAGAAGACCTTCCAAGGAAAATGGAGTATTTAGAATTCATCTGTCATGCACCTTCAGAATATTTCAAATCTCGATCATCTCCGTTTCCTACTGTTCCTACTAGACCAGAAAAAGGCTATATCTGGACTCATGTTGGACCTACTCCTGCAATCTCCATTAAGGAAACTGTTACCAACAATTTATAATTTCCTTTCCTTTCTTTTTTAAGGATATGCCAAAACCGGTATTTACTGAATTCTCAGTTTTCACCTGTGGACCTTTTACAAGCTGCTCTAAAAATCTTTTTTTATAAAGCATTCAGTTGGCCATGTGGATTAAGGAGGCTTATTTATTTTAAATTATCTAACTTTAGAAAGAGAAGTTTCTTCCAACTGAATGTTTCTGTTTCCCTCCCCTCTTCCATTCAAAACCCAGTTCTTCTTTCATCATTGCTTGGTTAGAAAAAACAAGATCTTTATTTTTCTTTCTACTGATGACTGACTTCTCACAGTTGCTTGGGAATGTAAATTTATAACATTTTCCAGAGTGACTAGCATAAGTTAATATCCGTAAAAGCATGGACCATCACTACTTACACAACTTTCGATGTAGAAAGTGTTGGGTATATTTTTTATTCTCAAGTGACTAAAGACTAAAATTGATGTTAATGTCTTTAAAAAAATGAAAGTAATTTCAAATAAAACTTGAAGGTTTAAACTGGATCGATAAAATTACCACATTTCTGCCTTTGCCAAGATTCCTGCATATGTAGTAGTAAGAAATTACTAGACCATGGTACAAAAACAGTGTTACCCTCAGCCAACACAAATGCATGCACATGAGGCATCTAGGAAAGAAGTTATCCTGAATTAGAAGTGAGATGAAATTCCCTGGGGGTTGGCTGCATCATGTGCTCACAGCTTGGTCTTCCTCTGGGCAGCTGGGACTGTTTTCTTTGTGCGTCTAAGGTCTTGCTTTTGAGTGTTGCTATGCTCTTAATAAATTTGTTCTCTCCTTAAGAATCTGATCAGGTACACTGACCTAAATGTTATAAGTAGGTACACATAGCTTCTATAAAACTGCATAGTAGGAGAGCATGTCAGTTGAAGCTGAATATAGTGATAAAACTAAAAATAATTTTTAGTCTGCTGCACTCACAGCAAGAATTTGCTGAGTAGAGCAACATGCAGGAAACAGAAACATAGCTAGGTTTAAGATCTCATGAGCCTTAAAGTACCCAATACTTGAGAGTGCCTTACTGATATGACTTATGTGTAAATGTGTGCTAGATCATTAAATTGGTTTCAAATGCTGAGTTGATTACTAACAGTAGTTTATGAGGGTGAAGAATGCATTGCTTAAAATGGATTATATACAATATTGATTGGGATCCTAAATGCAGTTGTTAAAGAAATTGAAAGAATTCCAAAAGAAAAAAATGTTCACTAAAACTTTATGGTATGCTGCTGGAAATTCAAAAAAGTTCCAGAGTTTATTAAATTGACTCCTTTTAACCGATAATACAATATATAGTAGGTTTTATGACCTCAAGTGCTTTATAGTGTTTTACATAATTGGAAAAAATGCTACATACAGATTTGCAGGTCCTTCGGGCTTTTTATCCATTTGTTATATTACAATAGCACCAAAAAGCCTCACTCAACACTGGGGCCTTATACCAGGTCCTAGTGATAATTCTTAACTTAATAGAAAAGCTTCACTTACTGTGAAGTAAATTAAAAATAAGTCCCTAAGCCAGATCTGAAAAGTATCTGAGCAACCAAATCTGCCCCACCACATTACTCTGCCTATGCAAAACAATTAAATATAAAAACTTCTTTAATTACTCTGATTCCTTCAACTAACCGGACAAAATCATTTTAATCTGCAGTTCACCTCTCCAAACACTATGAAGAGTGGGTGGTGTTTGCAGCATGCCCTGAAAGTCAATTTACTTATGTTATCTGATGGGAGTCAGTTAGGGACCTCTTCCAATAGCTCTCAGGACTGATTATTGTTGTTATGTATAGACTCTAACTCAGTCCTTTCCACTGCCTCTAGTGCAGCTGTCTGGGCAAGGTGGGGATCACTGAGGCTTGAGAGGACTCTAGCACTATGCCACCTTCTCAAATTCCACGTGGAAGTGAGTAAACAGCCGGTGCAGAGCACACCTGCAGTACAATGGTGTTTTCCAAGCAGACAGTTGAATTCTGCACTAGCTTCAGTTCCCACCTGTATTTAAGATGTAGCTCCATGTTTTAGTGACAGCAAGACCCAAACCCATAGAAACATGCAACAGCGTGGCTCTATAAGCAGAATGGTGGCATTTGTCATCTGCCAAAACACTGACAGTCTCCATCCACCTTTGTCAGCCAAAAAAGGTGAGCTAGGAGGTCTAGACCACAGGTCATCACATGACATGTTTCAAGTACTACTGTGAGTGATACAGAAATCTGAGATTTGTTTCCCCAGATATAACCTTCCCCCAAAAGACACCTCATACTGAATCCTTACAGTTTTCTTTGCACAGAAGTCGTTTCCTCACATCAGAAGGGACAAACAGCCACACAAATGGAAGCAGATGAAATTAACCAATGTATGAAGTAAGTATTAAAAGCTATAGCTGAGGCAAAAAACATTTCCTTTGCCTCCTGTATAGTCACTATAGGAGTTAAATCTGCCACATCCAGTCAGCTGTAGTGCAAGATTTTCTCCATCAGTGACTTGGGGACAGATTTTTGCATGCTGTTTTAGGCACCTAAATACCTTCCAGGATGTGGACCCTACTGGGATTTTCAGAAGCATCCAGGAGCTAGGTCTGCAACAGGACTTAGGAACCTTGGCTCAGATCCAATAAAATGATTTTGGCACCTAAAAACTAAGGGCTCATACACATGCAGGGAGGCCGCTCTGATGTGCTATAATTACTATTCTGTAATTTTTGTAATTACTATTCTGTACTTGTGATTTCTAATGAAATAGAAAAAAACATACAGACTTGATTAATCGAGTCTGCTGGAGCTTGGTAAGTACCATGCTCCAGCAGACTCCAGCATCATAAATACGTATCAGTGTCCCTGCGCCGAAAAATGGCAGTGGGGTGCTTTAAAACTCATGCAGCAAGCTTTAGTTCAAAATGCCCCGCCACCATTTCTCAGTGCGGGGAAACTGATGCATGTGAAGCAAACAATTTGGGAGCTTTAAGTGCTCTTGGTGCTAATTAAAGCACACCCCTCCCCACCCTCCCACTGCACCTCCTAGACCATGTATATAAATGCTCCAAATGCTATTATAGCAACAGTGAAGTGCCTGACTCCTAGAGTGGAATCCAGAACCTGGAGTTTGGGGCCTAGGTTCCCTATACAGTGCTTGGGGGGAAGTTAGGGATACAGAAGAAACACACATGCTTATAGGAAGATCTTCTAGCACAACAAAGCAATCAGTACTATAAGACAAAACCCTTTAATTTAACTCCTCACAAGGCCTCCATATCCCCAGCACGTGGTAATACTACTCTGCTGCCTTTGCCATCCTAACATGGACACTAAAACAATGCAGTTGATCCCTCAAATAAGAGCATTCAGAGCAGGTGGCAAATGGCATCTTAATAGTCTATAATCGTCACTACCATAGCAACAGCTGCCTTTCATCCCCAGTATTGAGGATGTTATGTACACGAATGTAAGGATCCAACCATCCAATAGGAAATTTGCTCTGAAGAGGACTTGCACACTTGCATCCATGCCTTCTCATGACAATTAGAAACAAAGTTGCAGCCCTTATTGTATTTAAATCAATATCAACAGTGAACCACAGATAAATTTTAGCAAAGGCTTTTAACCCACGGAATTATTTAGTTGATCTAGAAAAAAAAAAAATCCAAATAATATGACTGATCTATCCATTGCTACAATTGTCATCCAGGTAACTACAGTTATACTGTTTACCATGATATACTGTTTCTCATTTTGGAAACACGGAAAAAATCATGACATTCTTGGCTAGGGAATCCAGATTAGACCATGATACTTATTAATACCTCAGTTTTTACTACCTGATAAGGAATGAAATAGAAAAAAACCATGTAGACATCTACTGACTGATAATCAAAAGCATTCAGATGGATACAACTGTTGTCATGAGCTTTGTTTTAGTACATTGTTCAACATTCCTTTTTTGCAGTAGGACTTGGTATACTTTGCTTTGATGAAGGGTGGAGTCACTGGAACTTGCGAGTCCAAGCACTATATGATATACCTCTAGCTCTGTCAGAAGAGCACTGTACTTACATTAAAAATACTCATTAAAATTACCGGAAATTTTAGATCGGTGCTAAGAATTGGAATGACCACTGAGATCAGAACCCGGAGCTGGGTAGGTGATCTCCCCCTGAGCATAATAAATATGCTAACGTTGTCATCAACTGATCTAAAAAACACATCTATAACTAAATACTCCCATGTTTTTCAAGGATGGTGAATAAACAATGTGCAGCAATGAGAGTGAAATCTTGAAATTTCTAAGGCTGACCTAAGCTACCTTTCTCTGTGATAAAGTTGAATACATGTCTGAAATATACCACTGACAGATCAATAAAATATAAGTCTGTTTGAATTAGAGCCTTACCCTGACCTCCAAATATGATGCATACGTATGGGAGAGCTTCTAACAACAACTGCACACGTGGCTGACAGACTCTTCTCAAAAAACTACTTTGGGATAAATGGATAATTGCATTCTATCACCAATATTTTGCCAGTTCATTGACTGAACTTTATTTGACTAGTCAAATACCCAACCCTAGTTCTATATATCCTTCAGAAAGGACACAGCTACAGAGAGACTGTCTTAGAGTCAAAAAAGTTATTGAAATATTGTTGAATAATACTTTTCCCTTTAGATTTCCCTGATGCCAAACTGTACCAGTATGCAATTAATGGGTACACTACAAAACAGGCTAATAAACCCTTTAGAGTTTACAGCATATGGTGACCAACTATCAGACCTTTTTATCCCTGTCACTAGGAAATTACTATATAAAAGCTATCAAGGCTGTTATTAAAGTATTTATCATACAAACTCCTGCAATGTATAGTTTCATCTGCCTTACAGAGCAGGAATTTAAGCCATTAGGTCTTCATCAATACTGAAGCCTTATATCACACCAACCTCTAGTTTAACTTTGGCTTGGTTGGTTAACTACTGTTTGTTTTATCCCTGGGGGGCAGAAGAAAGGCTAGAGAAAAAAAGAAGACTTATAGGCTGCTCTTAAGGAGAGCAAGAAGCATAATGGAGTGGGAGCTGTGTACCACAGACCCATGGGAGAAAGGATGACCTTATCTGGGTTTTCTGTAGACTAGAGCAAGGCATGAAGCAGTAGGAGAGGATGTTGGGCAGGGATATTTACAGGAATTCAGTGATACTCAGTAGAATTTATCCTGCATGACAGATGTGCAGGAATACAGATTTAATTTCTAGACACCTTATTTGATTCAAAGAACTATTCAACCATTTATATATACTGAAGCTGCTTTAAGCATCTCCTCAAAATGTATTTAGAGAAAATGAAGGTATTTTGTGGTAGGAAAAACACAAACTTCAACAATATACTTACAATTATTAGGGGAATACCTAAGTTTCTTAATTCTTTTCAAGCAGTTGCAACCAGAGGAATAGGTACACTAGGAGGAAATTAAAGCCATTTTAATGACAATTTAAGCCAAATAAACAGGTGACAGCTGCCAATACATTCAATTACTAAAGACACGGCATTCAAATTTCGCATGTGAATCATTATCTACATAAACTGCAATTGTCTGCATATTTTTGTTAGTGAAATAAGCTCTTAGTTATACAAGTCCCTATTGATTCCCACATTTCAGTCAATCTAGAATCTAATTTTTCTGAGATCTGACATTCTGGATGAGTCACATGGATCAAGATTTATGCTGTTCCAGGGTTCTGTTTTTAATATGCTGTACTTTCACTAGGCGATTTGGCTGGGTAAGGCGACAGCTGCAGTCTGACAGCAGATCTATGCAGCTCTTTGGGACCGCAGGAAAAGATGTAGAAATGAGTCTTGCAGCAGTGGCTTTTATATATGCCCATGTACATTCTGAGAAGCAACCTTTCTGTATGCAAGTGCTGGAGCTTTACATGACTAAATTGGCAAGGTTCTTTGGGTAGATGTAATATCTTTTATTAGACCAACTAAATAGTTGGAAAAATGTTCTTTGCAAGCTTTCAAGCACAAACACCCTTCCTCGGGCAAACTGACTCTGTCTCCCTATGCCTGAGGAAGGGTATAAGGGT